TTTGGACACTAATGATGGCAGGTCAGCCAGGCTGGATGTGGCAACCCCCAGGCTGCTGGGGCACAGCTGGGGGGCAGGGGAGCTGGGAGCACACAGGAGGATGAGGGACGCTCCTTCAGCCTCCCTGCCTGCTCCCACCCCGGGCTGCTCCCCTGGCCACCCTGCCAGCACCACCCCACTGTGCCCACAGCTGATCCTCTCCCCTCCTGTCAGTCCCAAGTGCCACCAGCACCAGTCTAGACACCTCAGTGCAGGGGACACCAGCAGGGTGGCCAAGAGCCTCCCTTGGGTCCTCACCAGAGGCCCCGTATCAGCTCCCAGCCTTCTCCTGCACCCCAGCCATCCACAGAGCCAGCCTGGCATGTGGCGAGGGCCCTGGCACCCCTGCACTTTGCCAGCAGCTCTGGGGAGAGCTGGTGGCTTCCAGTACAGCCTGGCAAGGATCTTGCCCCAAACCCCCATGGCCTCAACAGGATGACGCTGCTGCCTCCTCCTCCTCCTCCCACTTCCTCACCAGCACCACGACACCACACTGGGCAGTGTGGGAGAGGCCAGGCCAGGTCTAACTGGAGCTTCCCTCACTTCAGCAGTGCCCGACAGACAGGAGACATCTCCATTGTGCCTTGACAACGGGCACTGACCCCTTATGGCCACTAAAGCTCCTCTGTCACTTCCCCAGGGGATGCCTGGCAAGCAGGGCTCTGCTGCTGGCCTGGCCACAGCTGGCTGGGCAGCTGCTGGGGCAGGAAGCAGGGGAGCAGCAGCCAGGGCTGAGCCACCCAGTGCATGAGCAGCACCAAAGGGCTGTTCACCCCCAGCATCTTGTGCTGCCCTGGTGCACGAGCCCACCCAGCTAGCTGCCAGCTCAGACACTGCTGCTGCTCTTCCCAGTGCCACCACAAAGCACAGCACCCAGCGCTGCTGGGGACACCTCTGTGCTCTCCTCCATCACTGCCACCGCCCTCCCATCCCACCCAAATGGTGCCGGGGATGCCCAGCCTTGTCTGCAGCTTCATGGCCAGGCTTCCTGCTGCCTCCTGTTCCACCACCACGCTCCCTGTTAGTCTCCAACCACGGCATCCCCACCCCCTGCCCTCCTGCCCTCTGCTGAGTCCCCCTCCTTACCCAGGTGAGGCGGTAAACATCGCCCCGTGCAGCCGCCGCGTGTCCCACAGCTTCACCTCCCGCTCCCGCATCTGCAGGGCACAGACGTGGCATCAGTGGGTACCGGGGCTGGCCCCGTGGCACCACCTCCTTCCATCCCCAGTGAGGGTCAGGTCAGACATGGAGGGGGCCTCCTGCTTTCACGGGGGACAGGCCACCCAAAAAAAGCAGCTGAGGCCCTGGCACAGGCACACAGGGAGCGTGGCTGGGACATCCCAGGAGCACCAGGGCTAATCCTGCAAGGACAGTACCTGGCTGAACCCGACGGAGATGAGGCAATCGCTGGAACCCATCCAGAGGAGCCGGGAGTCCTTGTTGTGCTCATGTCCTGGGACACTCTGCAAGGCACAGGAGACACAGCTGTCACCGGCCACCCTGGGATGCCTGCATCACCAGCAGTGGCTGTGGCTGCCCCGGAGCTGAGCGCTGCCTCTCAGCCCAGCCCGTGGGGACAGGGTGGTGGGGACAGCCTGCAAGCAGTGACAGTCCTGAGCCCCCACAGGTGCCAGTGGGGTTGCTTTGTGGAATGGTTGGCCCGGCTCCCGGCGAGGAGCGGAGGGTGGCAGCAGGTAATGTGAGCGTGAGGGCCACGGGACAGCTCCCAGGCCCCCGGGGCGTGCCCCACACCTGCCAAGGGGGCTCGGGGGCCAGTGTGCTGTGAGGAAGCTGCTCCGTGCCAGCAGGTATGAGAAGAGGCTCAACCACAGCCGTGGCTGGGGTCACAGGGACTTACTTCCCTGGCTGCATCTCTGGGCTCTTGATCCTTGCAGAATCCCGGCTGCTGGGTGCCTGGCATGAGTCCAGATGCTACCGAAACACAGGGTGAACTCAGCCTGGCTGTCCCCACACTGTCCTAACCCCCTACAGCCCCACTCCACACTTCCCCTGGGACCCTTGTGGGCCAGGACCCCACAATATGGGCTGTGTCCTGCCCACTGACCCCAGCCCAGCCCCCTCCCCAGGCTCTGGTGACACTCTGCTGAGGACGGGAGGGGACAAGTTACCACGAGGCTGGTGGCAGCTGCCTGCCAGCTCCCATGTGGCCCCCAGATGAGTCCTGCAGTTCCTGGCATCCCAGCAGGAGCCGGCAGCCAGTGCTCACCCCATGGGGCAGGCAGCACTCGCAGCCCCCTCACTCTCCCAATTAAAGCCCGCTCACAATTCCAGAGCTGGCACAGCAAAGCAGAGGGCTCTGCCAGAGCTTCCAGCACTTCTGTGCAGGGCAGGAGGGATGGGGGAAGCACAGGAGGGTGTCTGCATCCCTGGGCTGGCACATGGTGACCTCAGAGCTGGAGGAGACATGTCCCATGAGCTGCATCCCCTTGGTGTGACCATCGCTGGCCACGACTGCGCCGTGACAACCAGCCTGGCTCTGCCACCACGGCAGCCCAGCCAGGATCCACAGAGGTGCCACAGCTCCAGGAGCAGCCACCTCTGGTTCCAGTCGCCAGCCCAGCGGGATCCCTGCACTCCAGAGAGACCCACAGCCAGGGCCAGAGAAGGCACACGGTGCCAAGCTGCTCCTCCTGCTGGCTCCAGCACACGGGCCTTCCCGCC